ATTTGTAGATCTCCAACAAAGCAAAAAAATAAAAAAAAACAACTCACTTCAACAAATTCTGGAAATTCTGGTCTCAAATGACTCTCGACAATTATAGAGGACAAGTAAGTATTCAATTTCAGAATTTTTTGAATACTTTTAAGTATAAGGTTAAGTTAGGAAATATTTTTGTTTGAATAACTAATTGAAATCAATTTAGCAAATATGACTATGGTCAACTAATGACAAATTTTTTTTTTTAAGAATTATATCAACTAGCTAAGTATAAAATATTTAATATAAGTATGACATTTACGGGAACACCAATTACTTCAAGAAATTACGTTTTAAAATAAATACATTTAAATTTAAAAACAAATTACACAGAAACTGTCAATGGTTTTATGAACGACTACCTCCAGCGGTGTCTATATCCGGGGGTGATGAGTGAGATATACCCCACCTCATTCATTATATACTAATAATTATAAATAACCTTATTGAAGTTATAATATACTGCGGCCGTGTTTAATTCCATTCGTTTATTTATTTTATTTTCCTACACGCGAACGAATACGAGATGATGCGAAATGATTAGATTTTTATGGTCTGCTGCCTCGACCAAAACTCAATCGCAAATTATATCGTATAAATAATATGGTTTCCTAGTTGGTTTTAGAACATTCGCAGTTACGCGACACAACAGCAGACAGCTGCAGTGAAGATCGTGGGCGTCAGTCGATTGGCCGTTTCACACCATCAAAGCCGTCATCGTCATCGTCAGTGTTATTCGACTGAAGTCCTGCGGCATAACAATCGGTAAGTTATTCGATTTCTTATTATTAGGTACAACTTATTACAAAATTAAATAATCATATACATATTTTGTATCCATCGAGTTTTAATTGCATTTCGAAAGTTTTCTTACACAAACACGTCATTATCATAGTTACTATTAGTTAGCTATACCTACATAAAAATGTTCTATTATAGACATTGAGACGGTCGAGTATACCTACACACATAATAAATTAATAAACCTTATATTTGATTTATGAACTATGATGCGTCTATTTTACTCTTAGACTCTTATATAAAATTAATGTTTAAAAAAATCTTGGAAAAGACTTTTAAAATATGTAAACATACCTAAGCAGTAAGCAGTGTTATGAGTATGTTATAATGTGAACTAATCTATATTATGTAACAAATAATTATTATAATTAAAGTAATATTTACATTGGTTAATTTTAATTGAACGTACTTAGTAAGATTAGGTTTTGTGCGGTAAATGGGACTGTTAAGAGACCATAATTTCAAGGATTGCCAAAACATAATTTAATTTTCATAAACTAATATTGAAAAAAAATGTATACCAATTACAAATTAAACTCTGTAAATGTATTTGAGTTCAGCAATCAAAGTCATATTAAAAGTTTTTTTAAGCTAAAAATAAAAACTAAGTATTCGAGTTAAGTTATCCCAATGTGACATGTGTTATTAGCATAATATATATTAACTAACCTATATTATTATTATATAGTGTTAAATTAACACGAAAATAATTAGATACTTTGAACCTCAACTGCTCTGACACTTTTAGACTCATTTCTGACCCCAGCCTTGGGATAAATGTTTACAACGCTGGGTCAGTAGCGGGAGGGGACGGCTAAGGAGTCGATTGAAACTTCTTGGCCTTGATATTTAGTAATCATACGAACGTTAAAATTTTGCGCCTTCTTCCTCGAATCATCGAATTCCGTGTAATGGTGGGCCAAGGGAGCCACGGTCAATTTTACAACTGCAGTTGATGCCGAGTGTAAACACTTTTTATGCTCGCGTGGGAATAATATTTGTGGATTATAACAATAATATAATAATATGGCTAATATTTTAGACACATTGTTCTATAGTTATAGTAGCCAAGATTCATTGTAAAACGTTTATAAATGGTCTCCACGGGCATTCCAATCTTCTGGTTGCGAACCCGGCTTCCAATAATGTCCCTGAAATTTACTCGTCGACTAAAACGGAAATGGTGCAGAGACCTCCCTCCTTCCCGATTTTGATGTGATTTGCCATGTTGCTCGAAATTGCGTTAAGTACACTAAAGAGGGGACTTTTTTATGGAAACTGTTCATACTGTTCATACTTCAACTATAAGATAATATCCGTTAAGTGTCGAAAAATGTAAACAATCATATTATATTTATAGAAATAGTTGTTTTGTTTTTAATGGTTTAATACTTTTAATCCACTTCAAGTCAATACACATGGTCGTACAATTTTTCTTCTTGCTATTCTCTGTCAAGTCGACTTGATTATCTGTGGAAAATTTTTTAATTGTTATCGACATACCTTCTTCAAATTCTCATTTAGTTATGTTATGCTACTGCCACGTCGTGTCGTACGCGCGCGCCTAAATATGCTCACATTCACGCACTCGTAGTAACACAGTTGTACGTATAACAATAACTGTAGCAGTACGTTTTAAATCGTATATTATGGGTTGACGTGATTAAATTCGTCAAGGTTCGACGTCCAGAAATTAAAAATAACATGACATCATATTACAGCCTATATATTCTTATATATATTTATAGTAGCAAAAAAAAATTACATAGATCATTACACTTATATGTACGGGGCGATTCACCGAACACTCACCTTCACCTCCAAGCTTTATCATCATCTAATAAATCATCACGCAAATTCTGATTTTTAGAAAAACTTTATACTTGGGCTAACAAAATAGGTACTTATTAGACTCCGAGCTGGGCGATGAATGTATTTATTAATTTTACAATGATGTGTGTTGTGTATATGTTTGTCATCACTTTTTGGAGCAGTGAATCTTCGCAAGAGTGGTTTCTGGAATTGGATTTAGTTGGTACTTAATCGCTTAATATTCTGAAAAATATATACAACAAAATGTATACGAAAAAACTCGACAATTTTTTAACTAATTAATAAACCAAGCACCCCAAAGTAAGACCTCAGCAACGGTGGCAATATGTAAAGTTCGACGACATCAAACCTAGAAACTGTTAATGACCAGTGAACCTAACAGGAAATCTTAACAGAAGCTTCAAAAGCCAACAATTTTCTTGTAATTTTTTTTTTTTAAACTAATATATCCGAGTATATTAGCATTTTTAGTCATAGTAATATGGTATAATTTTCAAATTATTTTGGCTCAAAGATGATAAAAATATTATGCTGGGAAAAACTTGAAAATTTAATGCAACAGGTATCACTCGTATTAAGTTGTTCTAATATAGAAAAATAAAAATTACCTAAATCATACACTATAATATATATTATGCACCATTTGTTTTATTAACTTTTGAAGAATTAATTTACATTTTGAAAAAATTGGGTATGTTAACAAAAAATAACGATTTTAGTTATTTTATAAAATTTAAAAATATTATTTGTAGTGAATTAAAACTTTTCGAAATTTCTAACCTTAGTATACATAATAATATTTTCAATAATGTACATCAATATTGTATAACCGATGTAAAGGTATCACAGAATTATTCGCAGCATTCAACTGTATATGATAGGCACGTGAAAAAAAAATCAAATCGTTTATAAATACGACGCATCAATTACCGCTCAAGCACTACCCAATAGCGGACACTAATAAGCCAATAAAATAAAAAGGCAAAAGTACATAAAATTGCATAGATTGTGTAAATTTAACTTACTACACTAGTGTGTAGTAAATTAATGGAGATTATTTTTTTTCAAATCATCGTAAATCGTTTGTATTAAATATTCATTCAAATAACTTAAGTACAGTTGTAGGAGTCGAGTGTTTCTCGTCATTAAATAGGCACTGTAGGATATGTTAGATTTGAATTTAATGGTAAATCATTTTATAAGTACCATAAAAACAGATTCTGAGCGAAGACAGTCTAAAATGTTTTCTACCAAGGTTACCGAACAATAAATTTAACAATAATATTAACATTTGAACAAAATATGTTTGTTTTTTTTTAGTTTTTTACCAAATATTTTAAAAAGTGCTGAGAATCTTTAATTTTTGACTTCACAAAAATACCAACTAGATCCGATTTCCTACAAGGATCCTCCAAATTTGATAATCAGAGCATTTTTTTTCTACTGGAAAAAATGTCTTCAGATTAAAAAAACCACACATCGTTGTAAAAACAATGAATTCTTTTTACTTTATAAAATATTTGTATTTATGTTTCCTGGAGAGGAATTTGTTTGGTGGTATGGCCTCAATGACCGAGACACCCCCTCCCCCCTAAAAAAAAATAATCGTATAGATGTTTCACTTAGAATTTAGATGATTGAAAGTTAACTATATTTATGGAATATATTATATCATAATTTTATATACTGGATTGTGGTTTGTCAATAAGTCGAAACATTGAATAAATAACCGATATAGTGAGATCTAGACTATCGATAACTAGGTACAAAACGATAATATTTAAAAATTCGATAAACTTTATAGGTATTTAAACCAAATATATGGGTGAAGCGGTAAAATATAGGCTATCGCTGTAATCGGTAACTCAATACAATACTTGTGGGGTTTTGTCCCACGTGAGTTTTTCGATAGGTTGCCTAATGGGTGATAACTTCAACAATATTGTCTTTATGAAAAGTACCAGCTACACATAAATATTTAAAAATTTGAATTTGAATATAGAATTTGCATTTGCAAAGCGTTCTTTAACGACCTCCCCCGCAGTAGCGTTAGAACCATGCTTGGAGAATCATCCTGTACCTACGTTTGTCTAATGTTTTGTACTTTGAAAGACTTCAAGATTTTCCGATGCAATAATATGCAGCGTACATCAGCGTATTATATCGAAAGAAAATTATACCCAACACCGGTTATTAAAACAGGTATAATTTGTGATTCCTCGGGTATGAGTATAGGATGTGCGTTTCACCTGTGTCATGGGGAATTTCCCCTGTTTCGCGCGTGACCTAGACCGTCAAATAGTATTTAAGTATATCGGCGTGGTGTTGATGCGGATTCACCGTATATAGTCAGTTCCACCAAAGCGACCGGACTGTGCACCGGCGGCTCAGACCTCACGATTTTCTGTTTTGATTATTTATTTATTTATTTTCACTCAAATATTGTACTTTTGTTTGTTGCTTGGATAGATTTTTGTCTAATTTTTTTCCGAGCAAACACTAAACAGTATATTATTTAGTTTTACATAAGATAAAATAAATTTTTTTATTAAGCAATATTATAATATAACAAACAGTAACGTTGCAAATAACGAGGGTTTCAGCACCGATTCAAAGAGTCCCGAACACTATTATAGAACCAGAATTGTACAGGTAATTCATTTTTTAAATGTATTCATAAATATGACGGTTGTTATGAAAATAAATCAAACAGTCTTAGAAATTGTATGTTTAGAACATGTCGCCATGTCGGTATTATTCGTTGAAGCATTTTGTACGATATTTATTTCTTGTTTTAGTTTTTTTGTTTATTCTGGTTTTATTTCAACTCGCGTTATGAAATATCTTACTAAATATAAATGTATAAAAATAAGTAATTATTGATTTAGGCAAATATTTATTGTATGACGTACAGCATAATTGATTAGTTTAAATTAAACATAAGTATACGTTTTAAAATGTATTGCCGATCAAAAATAAGATATTGGCTACAATATTTTGAAAATACTCGTTTATATTATTATACCTGCATATTCTATAAATTAATTAATTTCGATAATTTTCATTTCTTTTTATTTAATAAAATAATAATTACAATTTGTGTTCAATTCATCCCAATAAAAGAATAAGGTATAGTTTTTACTTTTAAAGTGACATTATTATTAAAAAATATTTATTTCCGACAATTTTTGATTTAACAGGTGTTTGGTTCAATACTTTAATACAATAATACCTGAATCATTTAAAAGCATGACATTTTTAAGGAGTTGTATCTCAATTTATTAAATACGTTTTTAACGTTTTGATTTATTTTTCAGTATACCATCCCTCTTGAATTTGACAAATAAAGAGTTGTAGGGCTCAAAGTTCAACTTGATTCAATTTGTTGTCTGAAGAATTTATGAATCCATGTACCTACTGTACTTACTATATGATATGATTCATGAACTCACAAAAGAATGTATAAAATACGATTTAATCTAAGTTCTGTAGGTAGTTGTTTTAGTTTTCGTTAAGTATTATTCATGTATTTTTACTCAAATAGTAAAATCTGAAAAATATAATTTCATAGTTATTAGTCGCTAGACGTTGCTTTGAATCTATAATACAAACTTATGAGTCATTGTCATTTTAAATTATAATGCATTAAGTAGTAAGCCCAATACCTCGCTCACTTCATAAAACAAATTATATTATTGTTCTAAGATCAAAGGTCTTGATATACTATACTCATTATACATTCATTTTGTTGTTTGTCGAGATGGGTTTGTAATTTGTATAACACATATTTTATACGTCTGGTTAGTGTAAACACAATTAAAGAGAAAGACTTCAATGATTATTATAGTATTATGTAGGTAACTATATTAACCTTTTATTATATTTTCAAGTACAAATTCATGAATACCGGCTTTTGTTAAAATAATATCTATATCAACATAATATTATAGAAAGAAAGGTCGTTTTAATAATAATACAATCACCGTAGAAATAATCTAACTTTATTAAAGTTTCCCGATAAATATACATACTTATTATACCTACTCCTGAAATTGAACTATTTCTATTATTTACCTATGCATACATATCTGTATACTATGATATTATCGAATCTAAAATAATATAACTATCATAGTATATTTTGTGTTTTGGTGTAAAATTAAAAAAATATTTTTATAACATCTTAGATACCTACGTGTCCGTGTATTGTGATAAATATAAATAAATATACATATAATACATTAACTATAGATATATACTGGGTACAGCGTCTATCGACGGCTACCAACAATAAATTACATTTTATTTCGCTATTAAAATCTTAAATCCTTCTCTGATTCTACCAACGTACTACGCGTATATATCAGCTTATAGGTCTGGCAAGGTTTCGATATGTATACCTTATGTTACCTATTAACGTTAAGAATATTGCTGTGTATTATGGCCTGGAATTCGCATTAGAAGTTACATCGTCAGACGAATATTTTAAAGGTGTATAAAAATAATTAATACTTATATATTATAATAACAACATTTTCAGGCTTGGTATTTAAAGTTATTTATGGATATTTTATGATTGATATATATATAGAATATCTATGATACCTCATACAGTCACACCAATATAAATATTAAGCTACAAAGACAATATTCAAAATATATCAGAAAAAAACATAATACTTCCACATAGTATTATAGGAATCACATTAACTAAAGTTACTGATATTGCTTTCGAAACAAATCCCCTGTCGTGTCACGTGTAAAGTGTAACATTTTTCTTCGTAAAAATCTTAATCTTATTTCTCAATTCATTAAGTTGTGGTTGCTCAATCGTCAATCATAATAATAGTAATAACAATATCACAATATTAATAATAATTTATTTACATATATCGAATTTTCCTACGAACTTATAACATAATTATTTATCATCTACATGCTCAATTCGATAATATTTTTATAATTTATTATCATTAATAATTGTAATATCGTCATTTATCATGTGAATTTATCTTCTTAGAAGAAATATTTAAATTGTGTGCATTTATATAACAATATCGGTATAATTCGAATATTTTTTCGTTTAATAATTTAATATATTAATTGATAGTTATACATGATTACTTACTCTATCGTTCTTCATTCCATTGAGTATTGACTTAAATATTTAGCTGATAGAACAATAGAAGGGTTGATAGTAACCTAGTGTTTTTGTCAAAAATTATTAATTTGATTTATCATTATTACATCTATCAATGCTACCTCCGGTGATATTTAAATTATTTTATTGTAATTTTTACTATTTTTATTTCTATTTGGGTACTTCGATAATTTTTGTTTGTCTGTTATAGGTTTTAAGTTTTGAATTGGGTTCAATCCGATTTTATCTTAAAATAAATAAATAAAATAAGTTATCTAGTATAAATTATATTAATATTTATTGTGAAATGTGCTGATACTTTTTTACAATATTGTACTATTATTATTTGTACTACGTAGATAATCAGAGATTACGATTTTCAATCGTATCTTCGCTTTAGTGCTTTACGTTTAAACGTATTATCTGTTAAAGTTATTACAGTCAATTGTAATAATTTATAGTTATCTGCGGAAATCGACTCAATAATAGTGTGCGTTTCCATGTTTTAAATGTTTACAATGACAAATTACAATTATGTAGTCATAAAGTAATCGTATTATTAAAGCGTCATTATTAATAATATTAACACTGGATACTAAATCGATACACAGCTAGGTCATTGCGTTATTATTTTTTTCCTTCAATACTATTTTTTATACGAATTAGCGTACCTAATAATTATAATATGGTAGATATTTATTAAAAATTAACACACTAGTACAAAAAGCCAAATATTCATAGAACAACTACCTAATTTCCATAAAATCGTATATATAATATTCGTAGATACACCTTATGGCTTATACCTATGTCCTTTACAATGTGTTATATAATATTATAAGGAAGCGATGGTATAATTATTTTATTATTTCCCCGCGCTGCACTTCATTAATTAACTGTAAAGTATTAAAAACGTATTTGATCAGTGGAAAGTCATGCACAGTCACAAATGTTGAGCTACCTATATATCCAAGGATAATAATATTATAATGTAGCTTAATATACATTACAAGCCAATACAACAACAACAACAACAACATTGTTCATTATTAGTGATTCCTATATTTTTTCACACTTATGTATTGTTTTGAATTTTTAGGATGCCTGCCGATATTAAAGTCATGGATAATTTCGACTCGAACAACCAGAGCACAACTCATGACCTTTCGGAAATTCAATCTTTTTACAATGGCACGACAGTTTTTTTGACTGGCGCCACTGGATTTGTGGGCAATTTAATACTGGAAAAATTAATCAGGTAATAACTATTCATTTCGAAACTTTTATATTATGTATTACGCGATTGCCCATTGTTTAATCGCATTTAAATTGTCTTTTGTTAATGACGTGCATATTTGGTGAGTTTACAACACAATATTTATTAAATATATTCAGACACACAATGATATATGAATGTATTATGTATAGTAATTAATAATATATTATGACGTATTAATAAATTCAACACGGTCGTTTAATTTTAAACTTAAATAGTTTTTTGACATTAGTTGACAGGGTTTTAAAACTTAATAATTTTTAGCCATACACCTAGTTTAGCATAATTTGTTATAAAATATAAGAATTAGGTATCATATTTTTTTTACTCTTAATTTTAATTTTTTATAAATAAAACGACACAAGCCTCAATACTCCCACTATTTTATAGTAAATCCGATGAAATATGTCAATGTTAAATAAACATTGCAAAAGTATCTCCACAAGAATTAACGAATTTTGATAATATTGAATATTTATAGTAATAAGTCACGATTTTAATTTTGATCCAAAATTGTATGTACGTTGTAAATAACCTTTCGTATATCTAATATTTGTTATACACCGAAACCGTTGAAATTCGAAACTATTTATGCTATATTCGATGCACTGGTGGCGAACTTACAGCACGTTTTACATAAATTTATTAAAAATGATTTCAAAATATTATTTATTACGGAAACAGTGGACGAAAACAATATTACTTACCTATCTACTCTACAATTCTATGGTATTTTAAATTAAAATTCATACTCAAGATTGTTTATTCCGAATGTAAATATATCCCCATGTTCGTATATTATAATAGCCTATCACGACATTAGAATACTTGAGTACTTAACTGTATACTCAGTTTATTATGATTTATGAATAATAACAAAACACGGGAAACAAATCACATACAATATAATGTACTGTGTTGCAGGTATACGCAGAATATTTAATTAGCTTACGCAACTGGCTTGGTTTTTACCTTATTTTTATACAAATTTTGATTCCAAATTTTGGACTTACTTCTTAGTTAGATTCTTATTTAACCACGCATATAGTATTATGATTTCATATATCAAGGTTCTGTATAAAGTGCTTCTATAAAAGTAAATACTATTACTGTAATATTAACCAAGCTTTACTATATTTTAATTTATTTATAGATATAACGATTTATAACACATTAGCATTTCAACATACATTGGGTGCTTATTATATTCTGATTTTCTATAGGTAACGTACGACCTAATGACATTCCATTATACATTTTTGGTTTATACAATTTACAAAATGCAATAAATTATAAAACCTCTAATGTTATAATAATATGTTTGTTTCATAAATAATTCCAATACTGAAAAATAAAAATATTTAAATATGTTATTGAAAAATCACTTTTACATTTTAACCAACTTAATAATTAAGAACACTTAAACTTTGGTCCAATGGTTCTAGATATGTTATTAAATTAATTTAAAAAAAAATGTTTTGTTTTTTATTTCAGAACTTGTTCTGGAGTTAAACAAATTTATGTCTTGATCAGAGAGAAAAAAGGAAAAACTACAGAAGATAGGTTCAAAGAACTCTTCAATGACCCAGTGAGTAAATATTTTTTTCCTCACATTAAGATAATATAAATATAATATAATATAATATTAAGATAATTTAGGTAGTATTACAAATTTAACTTTTATTGTGTGTAGATAATAAATTAAGTTTAGATTTGATGTATGTATAATTTTACGACTAGAGTATGTTACATTAAAATAATATTTTATATTTAAAGCATTTGAATATATAATTTTTATCAAATATGATTATTTCAGTTTACTAAATCATAATCATAAAATTAAAAAAAATGTTTGTCTAATACTATTTAAAATCTAAATTACCATATAAATACTAAAATTTGAATTAAACTTATGAACTTTCTAATTTTAAATTACAAATTTTTGTTTAATATTATAAAAACATCCGGTTGTATTATTTTTAAACATCATATTCATGAACGCAAGATGAATAATACATTTTCAAATGTATTTTTACCAAGTCATATTTATGTTGTTTCTTTGAATCAAATGTGTGTATAAAAGTGGCAGGCAAAAGAACAATAATATTTATAAATAAAGAGCGTAAAATAAAAACATATAAAGCGAACAGTAAAATACATGCTATCTTAATGAAAAAAATTTGATGAAAAAGTGTTATCGACCTCTAAAATAGACGATTAATGCTAGAAATTTAAATGTATAATGCATTAATATTCATAACTACAAATACATACTCATATATATTTACTCTTTAGTTAAAAAATATATTTTTAGATAAAATCTGGCTATCGTAATTACAATTACTTAGTAAAAGTGAATATGGAGTATATTATGTTAAATTTAAATATTTAATATAATCAATATTTGACTATACATTTTTCTTTTAACTTCCGCATCTATATATTATATAACCGACGCGCATTTTTCCATCTAATCATAGGAATATCTATGCATATTTGTTAATTTGTGTATATTATTAATGTAAATTAGTGCACTAACGATTTATCAATAGTAAATAGCAAGACAATCAACTTAAAATCACCAAGGTATCAATATATACAAAATCATGGCCATGTAGTCAAAGAGTAATAAAAATCAATACCCAATAAAAATTAAATAAATACCGATTATACATTTTTAATCTTACATTCAATTAAGTATAAAGTGACGTGTTTATGATTTCAGGTATTTGAATTAATGAAAAAAGAACAACCCAACTATTTGGAAAAGATCACAGCAGTAATTGGTGATTGTTGTTTACCAAATTTAGGAATACAAGAGCAATACAGGAACATTTTAAAAAATGAAGTAATAATACTCAACAATAATTATTTTCAATAACCGTTTGATTTATGTTTTATAATAACACTTTTTTGTTTAAACAAAGGTTAACATTGTTATACACTCCGCCGCTACAGTAAGATTTGACGAACATTTAAGAAAAGCAGTTAACATCAATATAATCGCCTTGCAGGATATGCTAAAAATGAGCCAAGCAATGAAAGACTTAAAGGTAGGTAACACATTGGTATACACATCTTGTTGTATAATTGTGTTTGTTTTTTAAATAAAAGAATTAATAATAATTAAATAATGCAATACTGCCGAATTAAATGGTTAGGCGTTTGTTTTTATTTTCGTTTTATTTTAATAACTGTTTCCGTTTAGGCTTTCGTTCATATTTCAACAGCTTATTCGAATTGCGCAGGAAGAAAAGTCGTGGATGAAGTGTTCTACAAGCCACCCATTTCTGGAGACAATTTGTTGCAGCTCGTGAACAGTCTTGACGATGACTACATCCAAAGAATTACTCCTTCGTAAGTATGGTTTCTCATCTCTTGTATGATCTGTGCTCGAGGTTAATTGCCTACAATATATTTGATAATATATTGTTTAAGACATTAAAACTGTTCATATGAGTAAAATCCATCGATGGTTGAAAAATGTTTTTCGAAATAAATGAAAACAACTGTCTTATCACAATATATTTTATTCATGTAGATTGCTGAAAGAGTGGCCAAATACATATGCCATGACAAAAGCTATTGCTGAAGGTGAAATCGCAACATACGGCAAAGGGTTACCCGTCGGAGTGATAAGGCCTTCGATGAGTGAGTATACTATATTAAATAAATTCTATGATTCTGTATAATATTAAAGTGCAGTGGTTCAACCGCTGTCCGAAGCCCCTTAAAGCGTTTTCTAGTACTCTTATCAAGCGTTAAATTACAATAAACTATGTTATGTATTAATGTTAAATATTGTTGATTAAAATAATAATATTTTTGACAATAATATATTATAATATAGGCAATATAGCTTAACTATAGTAGCTATACTAAATATAATTTGAAAATAAAAATTACATTACGAAACCTCTCCTCTCCTTTCCACCAAGACGTTACTGGTTACAATACTGTCTCGTCACCGTAATCATCATTACGATAAAAATAATACGTTTTTTGTGAATTGTATTTGAATCGTAGTTGTCGCCACTGACAACGAACCAGTTACCGGGTGGATCAACAACATCTACGGACCTACAGGGGTCGTAGCGGCCACCGGAATTGGACTTATGAGGTGCATGTGCGCCGATCCCGACCAAATAGCCGACATCGTGCCCGGGGATTACATCAGCAACGCCGTTGTCGCTTCCGCCTGGGACATCCACAACCAATGGTGAATAACGATTTTACATAACAAGTGCCCATCTACATGCGCAGGAAATATGATATTTTCTTAAGATTTTGCGTTTTTGTGGCCGCACTAGGTCCGGTTCAAGGGGGAGGTGACGTAGGGTCCTACACATAGGGTGGCACTTTAATAGAGGGATGGCATTTTCAAAACAGTGATAATATTATTATTTTAGGGGTTTTCAACCACACTATTTTTGGTTGAGCCATCCATATGTGGCACATTTTTGGCTATTGTCGAATTATTTTGCAATTTATAAGGAATTAAAATAAACGTTTTCCAACAAGTGAGCTAGGAAGTTAAACAATTTAAGTATCTGATGATGTTTTTCCACTATTTATTTATATTAATACAGATAGCAAAATAATATTATTCTTTCCAACAAAAATTGTACTTTTTTCTTCTCTAATAAATACCTACTTTACTTTGTGTAGAACGCGTAAAGACGTACATAACACGCGTTTTGGATGTTTTGGTGCATAATTGTAATGCCGTTAAGGTATTAACATGTAAAAGTAAATTAAACATACAATTAATAATTTTAGGAAAGAATATAAAAACACCAATTGTGAAGTTGAAGTAGATGGGTTGAATAAGGAACAGTATGTGCCACCAATTTACAATGTCGTTTCTTCGAATTCCAACCCCTTAACATGGGGAGAATTTTCGATGTTCAACAAAAAATATGGATGCCACGTGCCTTCTGTAAAAGCGGTGAGTTCTCCGAAGACGTTTTTACTTAAATCATACCTAACATATAATATTATGTAGAGTTCAAAAATGGTTATCAATATATTGTATTAGACGGACTTTACACATAATCAAACGATAATAATCGTTTTTTCTCTTTTTGTACATAGATCTGGCCATTTATGCTGAGGCTTTCCAAAAACAAATACGAATATACAATCTTATGTTTTCTTCTCCATATCATACCAGCATTCATTATTGATTCTCTAGCCAAGCTAACTGGAAGAAAACCACAGTAAGTATATCACGACAAAAAATATATAAATATAATAATATTATGAGTTATGACCCAAAACAATACGTGTCTTCTCGATGGGTGATGGTCTATCGTTTATGTTAACTCGCGTAAACCTAATTTTACCTGTGATTTTCACTTTTCAGATTAATGGACGGGTACAGGAAAATGCACAAGTTCTCCGAGGTCATAGCTTACTTCGCCCTACAGTCGTGGACGTTCCACGACAACAACACGAAATTGCTGATAAAAAATATGTCCAAATTGGACCAGTCCCTGTTTAGGTTCGACGTGGCCAAATTAGACTGGAACGAGTATTTCAAAAAACACGTGTTGGGCATTCGACTGTACATCATAAAAGATCCGATGGACACTGTACCGGAAGCGCAAAAGCGAAATACCAAGTCAGTATATAATATACACAGTGCCCGACAGACAATCGGTCGTTATTTGCAGATTATTGCAATTATCCAATTTTTCCAATTTTTTGTTTTCAGATTGTACATGATTCACTACACGTTAGTATCCATTTTGGTGGCATTACTGATGTTGGTGGTGTACGGACTGTTCCTGCTATTCGTGTAGGCAATTCAAATCTCTGTTGTCCCAAATGGCAATCATAACTGTACATAACAAACAAAATATATTAATTGTAACATGTACATAGGTACATTTGTTGTCTGATTACCGTGAATTTTGTTTTGTATCTCATTACGATGTATTTTAATTTTACTCAAAGTTGTATAATTTTATCGAAAATTTTTATACTAGAATTTATGTAAAATTCAATAACTTCATTTTTTCAACATCTACACTATGCGTATACTATTATTTTCATTCGATGTACATACTCTCTCTTGTAAGCAGGCACACGTATACTTTATCATAGTATTATGTAGGTATAATGTGTCCGTATTTATTGTAAGTGGAATTAATTATTATTATTGTCGATATTGAATTATTGGATGGATGTAATATAGGTACCTACCTCGTTTTTAAAATTGAGGTATTTATACCAGAAAATAACTGATATTATGTCATTGATTTTAAGATTATTTTGTGTAATTAAAAAGACTTTTTAGTTATTATGTAAATTATTATAATTTATAATAAATATATTTGGTGAAACAAATTACTTTTTAATTGTTTTCTTTTTTCGTCTTAAACAACGGAATTTCAACTTTGAAATCATTATACAATATTTCTGAACTACATGTAATATTTTCACCTTATTAGTTTTTATTTCAGACGTTTAAAAATTGAGGTTAATGTCAACATGACTATGGACGAATAATAAATAATTTATGATTTTCAAAATATTATAATGAAATGATTGAATCAATTGGAATGCATAAAATACGATGAGAACAATATTGTTTAAAAGTTTAAGCTCATCCCTGCATGGTTGGTATTATATTGGGTATATTGTGTTTATCCTGAATAAAATTTAATAACAAGGTACACCCACTAAGTTATGTGGTGACTACTTAATGATGGACTTTATTGTGTTGGTCGTAGTACCAGGGCTGCAGGCGCATTTTCTGTGAGGCCAACGCAACTGTATGCTAATATAAACTGATAAAATAAAAGCGTATAGATAAAATGTTGTATTTTAATTTTTGTTTTCAAGTGTGATAGTCAAATACATTCATCAGAACAAATTAAAATATTTTCAGGTACCAATAAATTTCAATTTTCAAAATATATTTTTAATTTCCATATTATATACATTTTTCGCGCATTTAAAACCGATCAAAATTAAAATTGTTTCTGATAAGTTTTTGATCTTTACACGAATAATGAATAAATATAATATTACATAATATAGCTGTGTTCAATCGATCTATGAATGAAAATAGCTAAATCAACTTTTATTCTTAAATACAGTAAATATTTATTTCAGTTGATAAGAATATCATTCAGTGGAATAAAGCACAGAATTCACAGGCCATTATTATATTTTCCATCATTAGGTACCAACAAATGGTTCGATTTGCAGAATTCAGATATGTCTGTTACCAGTGTAACTTTTAAAAAGTAATTGCATTACAATTGCGTTACTATTTAAGTAAAATGTAATGCAATTACTGCAGCGTTACTGAAACAGTAACCGTGTTATAGTAATTTGTAATTTGCGTTACGTCACTACCCAACACTGTCTGCTACCTATCCTCAAGCTGATTTGTAACGTATATAATAATTAATACTTTCAATACAATTATTACTTACTTATAAATACTGTGTTTTATAGTAAAAATATACAACTGATCTGTAAAATCTAGTATTTGTATTTGTGCTAATATCATGTATGTATTATTGTAAAAGGACTAAAAAGTGCCGAGATATTTTTGAAATTTTACCAAATGTATTACATGCTAAATATACACATATTAAGGTAAAAATGTTTGGTAAATCCATTTTTTTTAAATATTAAGATTTATCATTAAATATTTATCAATCATATGTTTTTTTGCTGATAAATCAGTAAATAGTTTATTGCTCAACTAACCAAATGATGACAATAATCGTTAACAATTACAATTACTAATATGTCCATAATTATAACTAATAATTAAATAATTATTCCGACAGCTAAGGTTTATTATAAGTTGTTAAATATCATATTATTAGTAAAGTACATACAGTTTGTATTTCTTATTTATCAAAATATAATTGCACAATCTAAATGTGTATAAATATCACAACTTACGCGCGCAATAATAAATGTGACGACATTGGTAAGACACATAGTTCGAATATTAGATACGTTCCTACAGCATATTAAAACATTTCCATGTAGAAAAAATGAAAAAATACACATTAGGAAGTTTAAATATTAATTTCATAATAATTGGCGAATGGAAGTGTTGGTGTAACGTTTCTCCAGCATGTGCATGGAAAAATCGGGTTTCTCATGTTTGGAGGGGTGGGGGGAATAAAATTGTACAAAATAAAATACATAATACTGTCAAGGTTTGATTTTAAGATTCGAAAGTGGCCGTGCTGGCGAAACGCACCTGCAATCAGGCCATCAAATATTTTCAAAAACCACGAAAATTATAAGGAGTTGTTAGTTGTATATAGCAAATAGGCACATAAGACTGCGAGTAAGCTGCATTACTATTTTCTTTTTTTAGATCGGGTGAAATTTGTGAAGTTGAAATTTTGAAAAATTTTCCAAAATATGCAAATTAAGCACGTAAAAATAAGCAGTTTCCGGCAAAATTTATGAAATATGCAAAAATATGCATATTCAAATTTTAGATTCGGTATCATGGCATTGAGAAATGAATTTATTTCGCACTCTGCTACATTTTACAATAAATAAAAAAAGTATGCAAATGATATAAGTCCAGAACCTAGGTCATAAGGTTTTTCCCTCGTCACTTACCTTTATGTGAGAGCCTTAGTTAGGTACCTACACGGCTGTATATTATATATTTTATATTATTTATTACACTATAGTGTAGCAGTATAATATAATCACACAATTTTTTAGCAAATACATCGGTGACTGCAAACTATTATAGAATAATATTGTTTAATAACATATTAATGCCGAGCCCAGAGAGAATATTATATTCACGATTAAAGTATCCATTTTTTTATTACTTCTGTAAATTTCAAAGCCTAATTTTGAATTTTTTTCATGTCTCGACACTTCTAGAGTTTTATATTAAGTTATAGTTTAACCGTTAAGACAAAAAACAATATTGTGACAAAAAATGGACTCGCGACAGTAGTGTATCTAAATGTCCTATAAGCAGAGTTCCGTGTTCTAAATCGCATAGATTTAAACACTCCGAATAATATTCTGTTTCGGAATCTAAAATAAAAAATATATCGTGTCCAAAGAATACAAAAACTCGAAAACTGATAACATATTATATTATAATATCTATCATCTATGGCAAAAGCCAATTGTCGTCACTCATCGGAGACGATTCACAATTCTAATACATTCATTGAACAAAATGTGTAAGGCAACAATAAACATTTACTCACATATTTCATTCTACTCAAGTAATTTTTATAAAAAATTCGATTTTTTCAGTTCGGATTTAGTTGATGAAAGAAGTTCCTCGATATGGCGTATGAACTCAAGATATGGCCTTGCAACTATATATTACCCGAAGAGTCGATGTATACGTAAGTTTGATCACCTATTCTTTTGAGGCTTACATATTTACCTTTTTAGTCTTAAAATTAAAATTTATTGCCACAGACCATTTGTTACCCGGGTGAAGTAGGGGCATATGTTTTGTTTCCGAGCGCGCAACACAAAAAAATAAGCTTATAGCACAAACGACGACGGCATGTCCAGGTCGCAGAATAATAACATATTTATACAATTAAATATAAATAAATAGTGTTGAACATACTAGTCATACTACAGTAGTGCAGTACACGGGAGTTCTTATATGTCCCGCAAAATTCAACAATTTTTATTTTTAGTTTATACACATGTTAAGTAATATATGAATATTACTATGTCGTCTGCTTGTGGTCGAACGGCGAATTAAAGTGACGCCGTCGTACATCAAACATCAAATTATTTTATAAAGCTGGGAAAGTCGCTCTGCTGATTATTGAATATCTATAGGAAATTAAATAAGGAAATTTTAAATTTTAAATATTTTTGAATAGCTTAAAATATAAACAACTAATGCACTCAAAATTAATACATAAAATATTAATTATTAATTTCGTGCACGACAGTATTCAGAGAAAAGATTGAACTTGCAATTTTACAAACTATATATATAGTTGGTATAATCGGTATACGGTAAATGTGATGCATTAGGTACTGAATACCTTTTTGTTAAATCTAAAAAGTAGTAATCACATTTATTTACAAAAAGATTTATATTTAATAACTCATAAAAAAATATGCTTGTGCTTCGAATATTTAAATACCACCTTTATTAATTATTAAAATGATATGTACTTTATATATTATTGTAATTTAAATTTTAAAATTATAAACTATTTTGGTTATTGTTATACCTCATTTCATTATCTTAATGATCAAATTTCAAACACAGACCTCCTTGATATAAAAATGTGTAATATACTATATATCTATGGTTTTATCATGTTGACGTAGTATAAATTATAATGCAATCCGTGGAGATTGTCGAAGTAGTTGCAAAGACGCAATCGATCTAAAATTTCAGTTAGCAAAGCTGCAGACATGAACAAGAAACATGAAGCGATCCGTACGGTTTTTTTTTTCATAATAAATCTCAATATTTTCAGACTTAAGTTCAGTTGTAGGTATATCTGATTTATTCTGCAGTGCACATGCAATATCAAGAATTCCGCCGAAGCCCGAAAGCGTCGATGTTTAAAGTAATTAATTTTGGTTTTATTTTTTTTTTTGGAGATTGAATTTATTTTTTATACTTCAAATAAAAATGTAATTTCATGAAAATTATGCTACCCCTATGTAGACACATATTTTATTTCTGAGAGCTGCAAATGAATAAAATACGAAGGATCAAATAAGTTACAAACGCCGCTCGTCGTCGTTTTTCTGCTCCCTGATCGTAGGGTAATTTTATAATTATAACCTTTTTTAAGTACTTAAAATAGACATTCATTACCTATACAGTTTAATTTAGAAATACCCGTTATAAATGATTACTCATAAGACACAATTTTAATTTATAACTTAATTTTTTTTTAAATCCAAAGTTAGCAGTTACAGGACACTATTAATTTAGTGTTATATATATTTCATTGCTCTATTATAATATATTAATATTACATTATATTATAGGTGTATCTAAAAAAAAAAAAATGTTTACAGAGTGGTAAACTCAATATCCTAACCAGTAATCACCCCGAACGAGTGATTATGAAAAATATACTTTTATACTAGTATAGGTATCTTTATGTAATATAATAAATAGACACAGGTGTTCAAATATTCTAAAATGTTGTAAAAATGTTGTAGTTATTTAAACCTGGGTGTATACGAATTGAAAAATTTAAGTTATGTCAAGTTTAACTTTTTAACTTCTTCTAAATTCCGAGCGGAGCGATGAATGCATTGATTTTACAATTTATTTTTTTATTTTTTTTATTTCTGTCATCACGTTATTTTGGTAGAGTAAAAGTGCT